TCTTCTGTTAGTTAAAAAACTTATCGTAAAAGAATGGAAAGACGAGTATCGTGTTTTAGCTAGAGAAAAAAGTGAACGGCTTTTCTACAAAATTTACCCTTTTTTGACACCCACACTTCTACCTACAGGAAAATTTACAACATGAGAATATAAAGTTCTTCACCGTCTTATGAGTAATCGCACCTACGACAAGGTATATTTTAAAATGATCAAAGTCTCCTCCACTGATATTTGTGAAGAATGCAATATTACTGAGTCTGCCAAGCACCTTATTTTTGAGTGCAGTAGGTTTGACAACCTCAGACAGTCTTTCAGTATATTTAGCTTGTATAAAAATTTGTATGAAATTTTTCGTGCTGGTAAGTTTAGGCATTTGAAGTAACTGGCTGCCTTTATCAAATCAGCTGATTTTTCGTTCTAGTTTTGCATTCATAATTTCTTTTACAAGCACGGATGGCGTATACTTTTTTTCTTTTGTAGGCATTGCTAGCCGGAGTTTTGACTGTAGAGTACCAAGTACGGTGATGAAAAATCATCATCTACGTGCTAAGCTAGCGTAAGCTTTGGACTTGTTCTTACCAAAGCGTGCAACGGGGGCACCATTTCAGACGCACATATTCGATTTGGATCCGGAACGTTTAAAAGTAGTCCCTAGTTTACTTAACGTTTTTGTTTCAATTGAAATGACTGGATAACCTGTGCAATTTGAATAAAAGCTTAAATATCAGCGACCGATGAATGCCATCATAGACATTCTTTGGACAAAAGAGGAATACGTTCAATGTTTTCGCAATTTGGCCGTCGAAGCCGAATGTACGAATGCAATATGGAAGCCATTGAATCACCAATATTCTTCTTATCAATTCATTGATAAACGATGCCATCTTTCTTCCGGGTAAAAAAATAAGATTATATTTGAATTATTTTTTTTTATGCTCATTGATTATTTGATTGCGTTCTAGACGAATCACTTGAAAATTTACAACAAATACGTGAATTGCAAGAAGCTCAGGCGAACTGTGAATGGGATAATTTACTTGAAATTTTTATAGATCCATCGCATTATCGCACCTGAAAAATATGTGCATTAATTCATCAAACATGTCTCTTCTAAAAGAAAGAGCGTTAGCTTCACATAGCGCTTTCAGAACACATTGTTGTCCTTAATGCCATAACTGCAATTTGAGAAGAAAATAAAAAGGGAGTTGAGAATGAAACCAAAGAAACTACGTTGTGTAGATCTGATCATTATCAAATGTAATAATATCCACCGTTTCTATTAGCGTTCGATAGATATTCCATCTTAAGGGTGTGTTATGATCCATATCGCTTTTAAAATGCCTTTGGGAATAACTTATCTTTTTATATTGTGGTAGGGTTTTCATAAAATACCGTCGAATTCCACGACAATCAAAATTCAGCGTTCAGCACCTAACCAGTACTTAATGATTCATAAATTAGATCAGTCGGCATTCGATTTTCCCCTATTTTGAAAAATTTGATGTTAATTCTTTCCATATATTCATACAAGCGCGTGAAACATAATATATAATCTTGTATATATAAATGTATAAAAAATATGCATTCATCTCCCCTTGTACGTCTCCTGAATAGTTTTATACAATTTTTATAGGCGTGGCATTCGATTTTCCCCTATTTTGAAAAATTTCCACATATCCCTCTCATGTTTCTTTTAATGGCTCTAATTCCTCGGATGATTTTGAAATCTCAAATCTATTTGCTGAGTATTTCCGACGTAACTTTTCGATTGCTAATTTCGATTTATCAGCAAACTACCCATATCCTATAACTAACTCGGTTTCAATACCTAACTTAGTTATTTTGGAAGATGACGTTTTTAAAGGGTTGAGTTCTCTAAAATACAGTTGTTCGCCTGGACCTGGTGGAATTCCATCATGTGTACTTAAATCTTGCGCTGTCGAGTTATGTGGTGTGATCTCAAAGATTTTTAACATGTTCTTGTATTTAGGTGTTTTCCCTTCATGTTGGAAGAGTAGTTTCCTTATTCCTATTCACAAAAGTGGAAGTAGACAACTCGTTGAGAAATACAGGGTCATAGCAAAGTTGAGTGTCCTGCCTAAGCTGTTTGAGCGAATAATTCGTATATTTCTCCACACCAGTATGGCTTTCAGAAAGGAAGATCTACGGTCACCAATTTGTTGTTAGTTGTTGTGTTTTCAAGGCTTTTTCTAGTGGCTCTCGCACAGATGTTATTTACACTGATTTAAGCAAAGCATTTGATGGTTAACCATAGACTACTTATCTTTAAACTCCAAGCCTCTGGTTTCTCACCCTACTTAGTGAAATGGATAAGCTCTTATCTGCACAATAGATCCTTCAGGGTTTTGTTTAACTTCATCACCTCGGATGAATTCCCCGTTACGTCTGGCGTACCTCAAGGAAGTCATTTAGGTCCCATTTTATTTAGTTTATACATTAACGATCTTCCATCGGTGGTTAATTCCAGCCAGATCTTAATGTATGCTGATGATGTGAAACTTTTTTCTTCCTTCTCTGTTGAATTGCAATCACATCAATTTCAAGGTGAGTTGGATAATTTTGTCGCATGGTGCTTTTTGAATCTTCTGAAACTAAACCTAAATAAATGTAAGAAGCTTTCTTTCCCAAGAAGAAAGTCATTGACTCGCATAAATTGGAGGACGTCGATACGTTCACAGATTTAGGCGTTCTATTTGACCATAGATTACGTGTTAACTTGCATATTGAGCTCTCGTTAAGCAAAGCTATGTTCGCGCTTGGTTTTATAAAAAGGTGGTCCAAAGAGCTTGATGATCCCTACATTACGAGAAGGGTGTACATGTGTTTGGTTAGACCCATACTCGAGTATGCTCCCGTTGTGTGGTCCCCTTCATATAGGTGCTATGTAGATTCAATCGAATCCGTTCAAAAGCAATTCTTGCTGTTTGCCCTTAGCAATTTGTGTTGAGATCCGATTGCCTCTCTTCCCCCCTATGAAAATAGGTTGCTTCTGTTATCCTTACCGTCTCTTGAGAAACGTAGGTTTGTTCTTGGCGTTCCCTTTGTAATCAAAGTAATAAATGGTGCTATTGACTGACCTTCATTACTTGGTGAAATAAGCTTTAATGTCCCTAACCGCTTCTCTAGGCACTTTATCTTGGTTAAGCTTAGTTAGTGTAAATATAATTATGCGCTGTCTAATCCGCTCAGAGTAGTTTGCAAGACCCTAAATGACGTCTATCACTTATTCTCGTTATCGGACTCTTTAAAGTCCATTAAAGCAACATTGCTTAATACGCGCGATTTACCTATCTCTTACTTAAACTAGCTTTTTTCCTTAAAAGTCGTTACGATTCGAAAATGAATTGTTGTTAGTATTATCGGCTGCCAGGCTTATGCATGTTTGCGATGGTTTAGGGGTTCATTTGCAATTTGGTCCTGTACCGGTTGTAAGTGTGGCCCTACGCTGATAGTGTACATGTTTTTTTTTCTTATTTGTTTTATTATACTTATACTAAATTTTATTATTAATTAATATAAGTTTTGCATTAAGAGCCAATTGAACTCGACTGTTACTTGTTTAGTTGAGTTTCTAGTATAAGTAGAATAAATAAATACATAAATTAAGAAGAATAATAACAGAAAAAATTGAAAAATGTCCAAGTAAAATAAATAAATAAATTGATATTTGTTAAATTTAAATTGATTAAAAACAGGAATATATTTATATAAGCCCTTTTCCTCTTTTTCTCTTTAATTTATATAATACAAAATTAGGATTGACTTGCAATTCATATTAAATATTCTATATTTGTAGACAAATTGGAAAGTCCCTTGCAACAATTTTATTGAACTGAGATGTTTTCTTTTCCTTTAACCAACGTTGTAAAATATGTTTCAATCGTTAATTGTTGAATTAGTAATGTTATTAACTCTTTTAGATAATCCTTTTCGTTTTTCGGAAGATATTGTAGGCTTTGCTAAACTTTTGCGTGTGCACGAGGCAAATACTAAAAATGCAAAATTTTAGAAAATCTATTTTTATATCAATTCTACAATGCACTATTATTTACTTTAAATAAAAAATGCTTCACAATAA